TTGGAGGTCGAAGTATTAGTAACAGTACAAGGGAATGGGAGGATCTATTTAAGTACCAGATGAAATCAGGTGCTTATTCTGATACTCCGTTCTTGGTGGTTACTGCGGCACTTCACCAATCGATTATACCTATTGCTATTGGCCAGCAATGGTCTTTGTTCAATAGGTTCAAATTGAATCGTACTACCAAGAGCGTCAATGCTGAAGAAACAGTAAGACAGGCCAGTAGGGCTAGCGCAACCAATGAAGATCATAATTTTGTATCTTAAAATTATGATTAACATTGCGAAGTCAAAATTAATTATTATACTTCAGTATAATAATGCCCTTGTGAAGTCTTACTAATATTAATTAAATGAAACTAGAATATATTATACCATTATTTTATTTTATTTTGTGTTTTATTTTTTGTTTATTTTTTTATCTTTTTTTTTATTATTTTATTACATGTATTTTATCATATATTTAATTAATAAAGATGAAACAAGTTTGCTGCCGTTAAAAAAAAAAAAAAAAAAAAAAAAGTACTGATATTATTACTGGCAATAATGGACGTTGGTGTTATCATCGATGAATGGGGAAAGTCAGAAATTATTGCTTCTAACGCACTTTTATAATTATATTATATATAATATTTTCACTTCATGTATTTTATTTTTTATTTTTAATTTAAATCAAGTAATTTTATTATTATTATAAATTGAATAAAGTTTTCTCTAAGTCTAAAAAAAAAAAAAACATCAATATACATTTACTAACAGCACAGTTCCTAACACAGAACCTATAGTAAGTAATTCTACTTTTGATGACATTTCTTGTGATTCAGGGGAGAGTTTAATGGATACCACACTCTCTATTTTGAAGATGTTACTTCTTTGTTTTATTATTTTAGATCTAACTAGTGATCATGTTACTACACATAGTATACATCACACTGAATTTTTTTTTTTTTTTTTTTTTTTTTTTTTTATTTATTAAATTTAATCTTTTACATAATTTTTTTTATAACTTTAAATTATAAAATGTATTTTTTTAAAAAATGTAATACATAAAAATATTTAAATCTATTTAATTCTATTTAATAAACACATGAAATGTATTCTCTTCCTAGTCTAAAATAAATAAATAAATAAATAAATAAATAAATAAATAATAAATAAATATAAAAGTGGCTATAAAAAAAAATATATATATATATATATATATATCCCTTTTAAACGAGTGTTATTTTCAGCTGTAATTGGGCAATTTTCGTACTATGCACCTCTACTTGGATCGAATAAAGAAAGAACGTGAAGTACACAGATATTAGTTAATTTAGGTTTATAGCTTTCATCCCTTTATTGTGTTTCAAAAGAACTCGAAATGTATTATCTCTGTTTTACTAAGAGATATTTAATTAAAAATATCTGTATGGAAAATTTATAAATATTATTCATATACATCTTTTAATATTGAAAATTAAAAAATTTAATATTAATATTGATTTAAAAAATATATATAATATAATAATTACCAATTAAATATTAGGTTTTGTCAAAAATATAATTACTAATAAGGAACTTTATTAAATAATAAACTGTATATATATATATATATTTTTTTTTTTTTTTTTTTCAAAAGTTTTCCGTTCTTAATAAAAAGTATAATAAAATATTTCTGTAATAAAATTTTATTTATTAATTTTAAAAACAAGTTTAATATGAATGACACCCTGTACTATTAATATTAATAAACAAAAAAAAGTATGTTAAATAGATTAAAATTTTTTTTATGTATTACATTATTATTTTCTCTAATGTTTTTAATACTTTTTACTTTTTTTTTTGTTTTATTTATTGAGAGGTTTAACTTTATTTATTAACACATTTATTAATTACATGTATATTTTTTATTAAAAAAACACACACACACAAAATTAAAAAAAAAATTAAATATTATTTGTCCAATTAAAACATAATAATATTTAAAATAAGAACCTGAAATAAAAAAGTAATATTCAAAAATAAAGTGTATAAATAAATTCAGAAAAGAGTCCATATGCAACGAACCTCACCTCCAGATTACTTATTCAGGATTAGGGTTTGAATTAACTCCTGATGAGGCTAGTACTTGGCAAGGGTTATTATTACGAAAATATAAGCCCAAACTAACCAGGAGCGTCAACGCTGAAAATACAGTGAGACAGGCTAGCAGGGCCAATTGAACTATTCAGTAAATTAGTAGTAACAACATTATGATTTTCATTATCACTAAAATTAACATTCTTATATTAACTATGAATAATACTATTACTTTAATTAACAACAATATTTCCTATTATTATTATTATTATTATTATTATAATTATTATTATACTATCAGAATAAGTACTTGATTCTATATTATTCATATCTATGACAACAGTGTTTACACATTTCTACTTGATGTTGGACAATATTTTGTGATTACAAAAAAATTTTCAAAAAGAAATACTTAAAATTGATAATTTATATAAATCATTCGTATAATTTTTTTAATTTCTGGAAACTAAGTTAACATTTTTTTTACATATTCAAAAATAATTTATTGATAATAATAAAAGAAAAATCAAAAACAAAAAAAAAAAAAAAAAAAAAAAATAATAATAATAATAATAATAATAATAATAATAATAATAATAATAATAATAATAATTTTATTTATATATTTTCTTGATTCATATATATATCTTTTAAGTTTTAAATTAAATTTATATTTCAACTTTTCATTTCATATTTTATTATATTTTTTAATTATATATATATATATATATATATTTATGCATAATAATATTACAAAATATTGTTGTATTGTATTAAAATAATAGTGTACTTTTTAATAAAGTATAAATTCCGTTTATACGATATAATATTATTAATTTGAATTTTTTATAAGGAAATATATTATAACATAATTTCAAATTTCTTTTGTTAAATTAACAAAAAAAAAAAAAAAAAAAATTATGTATAAAATTAAATAGAGCAAAGAAAATTTTTAAATTTTTAATAAATCAAATAATTTATTTTTAACATGAATTTTTAATACCACACCACTATAAAATGTATTTAATAGAATAGATGTAAATATATATATTATATTAGTTATTATTTATAATTAAAATGATATTTTTATTAATAAAAAAAAGTAAATATAAAATAAATAATAGAATAAAAAAAATAATAATTATAACTTACATTGTTATTTTCAACACCCCATTTTCCATCATCATCTTCATAAATTGAATCACATGAAGAACAACATGGGAAACCTAATACAAGAGAGAAACATTCATCTTCAACCGCATTGGATGTACAAGAACTATTAATTCCACACCATTCATTATTTTCAACTCCCCAGAAACCAGTATTGTCTTCATAAACAATATCACATCCTGAACAACATTGATAACCTTGCTCCTCTGACCAGCATGAGGAAGAATCAGGAGTTTTGTCATTAGTAGATGTTTTTGTAGATGAATTAGATGAAGAAGAAGAAGAAGAACCTGGACTGAAAGCAGCATCAACATTAACACCAATGATTGGTATTGAATTATCTTCATAATTTAAATTTGGTGTATATGCAGGAAGTTGATTTGGATTATATAATTCAATAACATTTGGATAACTACCTTTCCAATTAAGAGGAGGATTTAAATTATAGGAAATATTTTTTGGAGTAGGACGGGGATTAATAAGTTTATGATTCTTATCAATACCATAATAAGCAGCAGCATAATTGTAACGACGTCTAATCCAATCTTTTAAACCATATCCACGTACACTACCTTTATAGGAAAATAAATATGTATATTCAACATTTTGTAAGAAATGTTCATAGGTATAATCAACATCTTTACCAAGTTTATTAAGTTTTCCAGCACCAGAATCCCTATCTTTCTTAACATAAGGTGATATTAAGTTTTTAATATTGTCTATATGAGAAAGTAAAGTATCTGGATTGAAAACTTTACTAATGATATCTCCAACACATTCACGGAAGATAGTATCATCATTATGAACAAGAATCTTTACAATAGGATGGTTTAATTCAAAATCTTTGAAAGATATATTTGCAAATTCAATATCATTTCCATTATAAAAATCTTTTCCTGGAAAACTTTGAGTCCAAATATCTTGACCAACTTCTAAATCGTGATCATACGGAATATAAACCCATTTACCATTTGGTTGTAAATACCAATATAAATTATGTCCGTATACACCAAGAAAATGATCCCAACCAAAAACTAACCATTCCCATGCTAAGCTATTTACATATATATATTATTTATTATGTTTTTATATATAATAATTTAATAAAAGTGTTTTTTTTTTTTTTTTTTTTTTTTTTTTTTTTTTTTTTTTAGTTATAATTTATTAAACTATAATCAACATACTATTTAATGAAATTATCAACATCCATTATTTTTTCTAAATCAGCTCTTGTTTTTGCTGCATTAACACTATCGACGAATTTCTTTATAATTTATATATATATATATATATATGTTATTTTAATAATTATTATAAATACTGTTTTTATAAATCTATAAAATATAATATATTTTTAAAAGACTATAAAATATTATTTACATTGAAATTAGTCATGTTATCGGCATATTCATCATTAGCATTTACACACTTTTTTTTGGCTGAATTATCATCAAAACGAATCTTGTCATCTCTACATTGAATTAAATCAGTAATATCATCAACATCACCAAACTTTCTTTTAATCCATTTGATTTTAACAGAATCAGAAACAACCCAACTAGTATTTTATTTATTTTTATTTTTATTTTTTTATAATTATTATGAATAAAATAAAAAGTTAACTGTTAATATATCATATATATATAAATTAATTTATTTATTTATATATAATTTTTAATAGTATAAATCATGTATGTTGTAAAAAGGTTGTATAAAATCACGTGATTTGTATAACTGGTTTAATATCACTTATAATACTAAATAAGTGCCATGCTAATCCAGTTGGTTAGAATAATACATATTACTGTAGATGCCGGGGTTCAAATCCCGGATATGGCATAAAATAAACACTAAGGTTTTCTATACTGGGGTATCACGCAACAATAGTGATATCTAAAAGGCTTTGCCTCGCTGCTTATTCACCCAACCCTGATACTATGCTACGACTTGATGATATCTCCAACTAATTCTATAAGAATTAGGAGGGAAAATTTTCAGTACGTCATTGATTACACCCATTGGGAGAAGAAGTAAATGGTTCCAGTTCGTATCCTCGTAGTTAATAGAGATATATATAAGAATATACAGGGAATTCAGCTCCAGGCAGACGTTTAACGACGTTTTGTGAGTATCAACTCTATACTGGTATGCCATATATTATCACACCTACAGTAATTATTGTTGGGAAACTAATGGGAGAGATGGGTACCCATTATATGTGTGTCCATGTATTTAATATTAAATAGGTATTTTACAAATTTACAAGCACCTTTATTTCAAATTCATACATGATTTACTACTATGATATAAATTATTAATTTAAAATTATATACTTACAATCCTCGATATTCATTATTAATATATAATTCAGTATATCCAACTTCAACAGCAATTAAACCACTTTTTTGTAAAATATCAGTTGAAATTTTTGAACGCATCATGGATGCATCACGTTGATCACTTCTTAAACGGAAATTTTTGGTACCATGTAATGTTTCTCCATTCTTAATTTTAATATTAAATCCAGGTTTCGAAAATTCAGTTGATGATTTTCCTCCCAATTTAAATTCAATATCATATTCTTCATCATCACTACTATATTTATTATTTATAATTTATATTTTTATATTAGAGTACTATTTATTGATATAATTATTTTATTTTTTTTTTCTAACTTTGAAATTACCCATTATATTTAAATATTAATTTAGCATCAACTTTGAAACCTGAATTTTGATGTTGACTAGTTATCTGAGCTTTTCTTTGCATTTCACTCCAATCATTATTTGATATAACAACATGCATTTCTGGAATGCTTTTTTCCATCATTTCATAAAGTTCTGTTCTTTTTACATTTGTCCAAAATGATGCATTGACCAGCAAAGCTATTAATAATATATTAAAATGTATTTTGAAAAAAAAAATAAATATTCAATATATTTTTAATAGGTATTTTAAGCTAATTGATATTATATCAAAATTAAAAATGATATATTAATAAATAAATTATTGTAACTTACAGCAATAAGCAATTAATGTAAAAAAAATTACTTTCATTTTGAATTAACTACTTAATTTTACTTAGTATTAATTAATTATACTATTTTAAATTCCTTATTAATTAAATTTTTTTAATTTCAAATTATTTAAATTTTTTTATGATAATTTTAATTTTTTTGAAAAAAAAAAAAAATTACAATTATTTATATTAATTGATATTGAAAAAATAATAAACTTTATGACTTATTCAATATCATATGTTTAAAATAAGAGAAAAAAAACAAAACAAAACAAAAAATGTATTATTTATTAATTAATATAAAATATTATAAATACCTTATATGGTTAATAATTTAATATATTACAATACAAAATAATATAAAGGAAAAATCTTATAGTATATTAATTAAACATTTTGTCTCATATATATTGGAATGAACTTTAATAATTAATAAAGTATAATCATAAATATAAAGGTATAAATGAAAAAATATTTCCGTAAATTATTGATATAAAATGAATATTCAAACCTTAATTAATATAAAATATTTTTTACTATACAAGTATAAATTAATCCATAAATCAAATTTAAATCTAATAGTATTATATTGTTCTTATTAAGTAGCTAGATATCTATATATTAATTATAATTAATAAATTAAAAAATAATAAATTTTATAACATAAATCAATGCTTTAATTATATTCTTCATTTTATATTAATTTTTATATAGTTATTAAATATTTTCTTAAATAATAATTATTAATATTAATTATACTTATCACATTAAATACTTAATAATTATTAAATAACATAAAAAAAAACACTTCTCTGAAAGAAGTGTTTGAGAAAGTTGATTGTTTTAAATGTATAATCAATTATAATTATTTATGCTTGAATAAATATATATGTATTCATAATAATATAATTGATTAAATAATTTAATAATACTGTAATACCTTATCGAACCAGGATTATGTCATTATTTATTGATAGAAATAAAGTTTAATATTATTTTTATATTCTATATTATATAATTATTAATTACAATATTAAATGTGTTAATATGGAATATTAATATGATGAATAAATCATAATAAAACTTTATACATTTTTTTATAAAAAAAAAAAAAAATTAAAAAGGTATAAAAAATAATTAATAAATTAAAAAAAAAAAAAAAATTTATTCAATATTGAATTTAATGATTAAAATAATTTTATTTTAAAAAATGTTGTATTGTAATTTATACATTTTTTTATAAAAAAAAAAAAATTAAAAAGGTATAAAAAATAATTAATAAATTAAAAAAAAAAAAAAAAAAAAAATTATTCAATATTGAATTTAATGATTAAAATAATTTTATTTTAAAAAATGTTGTATTGTAATTTAAAGTTTATATAAAAATAATTGATATTTTATTTTGACATTTTAATCTTCAATTTTATTTATTTTATTTTTATTAAATAAAGATGGTCATTTATTAATAATACTTGAATTAAAAGTTTTATATTCTAAACTAATACATTATATAAATGACATTATGTACCAATGAAAAATCAATAATAAAATTTATTGTACTATTAAAAGTATATTAATAGCAAGTCACAAATTTACCACATATTTATAAGACTTTAACTAAATAATAATTATGTTATTATTTATTTATTGTAATATAATGAACTTCATATTAATAATTAACAGTAATTCTTCTAAAAAATAAATTTAAATTTAATTCTGAATATTTATTAAAATAAAATTAAATAAAAATAAAAAAGTTATTAATTAGATGTTTTTAATGAATTTGTTTAAAAAAATATTAATTATTAATATTTAAATAATAATAATAATAATAATAATAATAATAATAATAATTTATATATTTAATAATATTATATTATTATAAATAATAAATGACAATAAATATATATATATATGAAAAATAAACAATAATAATAAATAATAATATTTCTATTTTAAATATTTTTATTTTATAATTTATAAATTAATAAAATAATAATAAAATTTATTATTGTCCCATTTATTTGTATATATTTTCGGATATTTGAAACAATATATAATAAAATTATTAATAAAAGTACTAAATTTAAAATCATTATATTTAATTTATTAAATTTTAAAATTTCTTTAAAAAGAAAAAACTTTATACTTTATTTTCCTTTTAATTATAAATAAGGTTTATTATAAAAATTACTATAAAATTTATTTAAAATATAAAGAATGATAAAACATTTTTTTTTTTAATTAATAGATGATAAATTTTTATTTAATTTTCCTTTTAATTATAAATAAAGTTTATTATAAAAAATTACTATATAATTTATTTATTTAAAACATAAAGAATATGATAAAGCATTTTTATTTAATTAATATATGATAAATTTCTATTTAATAAGCCCTACTGATTTCTTGATAGGTATAATGTCAACTGAACTCTCTCAAGAAAAATATTCAGTTTCTGTAAATTTATTTGGTGAAGGAAAATTAATTCTTCTTTACTATACTGATATGACGTTAATCCTTTTCGTTTTTATTTTGGACCACCAATAAATCAAAAAAAAAAAAAAAAAAAAAAAAAAAAAAACAGTATGAATTTCTAGGATAAAAGGGCTTCGACCTCTTATCATTCACCAATGATAACTCCTTGAGGATTACATTATCATTCAATTCTATATCAGAATTTCTTCTTTGATTTATCGTTTCGACATGGACACTTTTGACAATGATTAAGTCATTGATATACAAATTGTTCTTTTAAATATCTTTGTTTCCCAGAACTAATTTTTTTTTTTTTATTTGGATTAGGAATTAATTAACTTATAAATAAAAAACACATGAAAAGAATAAACAAAATAAACATATATATATATATATTTTTTTTTACTTTTATATATATATATATATTTTTTTTTCTTTACTTTTTTATATATATACATATATATATTTTTTTGCTTTATATATATATATATTTAATACATTTTAAATTAAAAAAATGATACAATAACTTTATTAATTAATAAAGTTTATTAATACTTATTTAAAAAACACGTGAATTTTTTTTTTAAATACAAAGAGAATATATATTGTTTTATTTAATAATTATTATATATTGAATAATTTATAATGAAAAACACATATCAAATATATTAAATAAAATGTAAATAATAATAATAATAATAATAATATATTTAAAAAAAAGATTAAAAAAAATTTTAGAAAAAAAAAGTCAATTTAATACAACAAAATAAAGTAATATTTTTAAATAAAGTAATTATTATGTGAATTGAAACCGTTTCTACCGAAAAAAAAAAAATAATAATAATAAATAAATAAAATAAACCAAAGAAGTAAAATCAATAAATTAGATACTGTGGTAACCACTAAACTCTACCTTGAACCAAAAGAAATGCTTTCATATTCAATTTCCATTATTATTCATGTAAAATGTTCTTGAAGGACTAGTAAAACGTTCTTCTTTGCTATGTCCGTTCGACGGGTGTTATACTATACTATACTATACTATACCAACCAAAAAATAATTCAAGAATATTAATAATGACTGATATAACGTTGGTAAAGTAATTTGAAAAGATAACAATATAAGGAACGTTAGATTTAGAACTTTTTTTTAAGAGTTCTTTTAAATATCTCTCTTCCTCAATATTGAATTATAACTCATCTAAAGTTAAAGTTCCACCAAAAGGGAATATAAAAATATATGTTGTTAATATAGCTATAAAATTGTATAAATAGAGTATATATGTTAATATATTGATATATATCTATCAATTATTGTGCATTAATATTATCATTGGAATCT